GGAAATAGAAGAGTCAGAGTCTCTGATGAAATCAGAGCCATACTTGTGGATCATGTCATAAATTGTGGTTTTACAACGGAAGACGCTGGTCGAAGAGTACAGCCTAATGTTAACAGGTCCACAGTGTCATCAGTTGTGCAAACCTTTCGTAGGGAAAACAGGTAAATATGTATTTATTTTTTTGTTTTACAGTATGTAAAGCATTTTTATAAACAACAATATTGTAAAGGTAAATGCAAGTCTATTTGTACATTCTATAGAACCGCACAACAACCTCGAGCTGGTGGCAGAGCAGCAGTATTTAACCATCAGCAAGAACAAGAAATTTGCAACATGGTCATAGCAAACAACTCCATCAGGCTAAGAGAGATCCAAAGTGCAATCATAAATGACAATGTCTTCGCAAATATAAATTCTGTCAGCATTTCCACCATAGACAGAGTTCTGAAAAGACATCAAATGACTATGAAACAACTCTACAAGGTGCCATTTGAGAGGAATAGTGAAAGTGAAGGAGCTGCGGTACCAGTATGTCCAGGTACTGGTGTGCACTTAGTGAGTTTTACTGTACTTCTAAGATGCCTGTATTACTTGAAGTTTTAGAAACCCATAAGAAGAGAACTCTAGAATAAAAATTAACTTTATTTTGTTTCTGTGTTTCTTCGTAGAGAATCATGGAGTTAGAAGGACATGAAACAACCCACATTCTTGTTTTTGTGGACGAGGCCGGATTCAATCTGTCCAAAGGCCGGAGACGTGGTCGCAATCTCATTGGACACCGAGCCACAACTGACACACCAGGCCAACGTGGGGCCAATATTACAATGTGTGCTGCCATTTCAGAGAATGGTGTGAGCACACATATTCCACACATTGGGCCCTATAGTACCCAACTTCTCCTGGCCTTCCTAAACACACTTTACAGAGACCTGATTCCAGAACAAGAAAGAGGTTTAGTTAGACCACATTTGCCTAATTATGTTGTTGTCTGGGATAATGTCAGCTTCCACCGAACCAACATTGTTAGGGACTGGTTTGCTGCACATGAAAGGATAACAATGGAGTTCCTTCCACCATACTCTCCATTCCTAAATCCAATAGAAGGGTTTTTTTCAGCATGAAGGTGGAAAGTATATGATCATAGACCACAAGATCAGATGTCTCTGTTGGATGCCATGAATGCTGCATGTGAGGACATCACAGCTGATCATTGCAGGGGATGGGTGCGGCATTCAAGGAGATTTTTTCCCCGGTGCATGACAATGGAAAACATCAGATGTGATGTTGATGAAAATCTCTGGCCTGAGCGACAGGATGTCCACCAAGACATTTTTTTGAAGTATTCAAAAGAAGTATTTTTGTGTATTTGTGGTAACATAAGAAATATGAAATGTACAGTTTCACTTATAGGTAATGCATTCGTGCAAAAATAAATGTACTGCATAAATACAAACGTTCATATACTTTTAAGTTAACATGAAAGGAAAATTCACTCTCTTTTCCAAATGCATGTTTTGAAATGCATTTTTGAAAGAAGTATTTTATGCTCACCAAGGTTGCATTTATTTAATAAAAAATACAGTACAATTTTGAAATATTATCGCAATTTAGAATAACTGTTTTATATTTAAATATATTTTTAAAATGTAATTTACTCCTGCGATGCATAGCTGAATTTTCAGCATCATTACTCCAGTCTTCAGTGTCACATGATCCTTCAGAAATCATTCTAATATGCTGATTTGCTGCTCAAGAAACATTTCTTATTATTAATTAATCAAATTTTTCAATACTTTTTGAGCAATTGTGCTGCTTAATATTTTTGTGGAAACCGTGATCAATTTGTTACAGGATTCTTTGATGAATAGAATGTTTAAAAAGAAATAGCATTGAATTTTTTTTTATTTTTGAAATTGAATTTTTTTGTACCCCTATAAATGTCTCTCCTGTCACTTTAGATCAATTGAATACATCCGAGCTGAATAAAAGCATCCCCACATTTCCAATCAACAACCCACCACATGTTTTTCTTTTTCAATTATATATTGCACTCAGTTAGAATATGGAGTCATTACGGTAGAAAAGATCTGTCATCACTTTCATTTCATCACGACTTTAAAATACTTTCTCCAATGCAAGCTTATAAAGCCGTAAGTAAACAGGTTCTTTTCAAACCTGAAAACAGTCAGCATGTCTTAGTGACACTAATGACACTCTTCGACTCTAAATAATCATTAGACTTAACAAAGTAAACAAAGACTGTGATGCCGTATGTTTGTCTGTTGGCAGGTTATGCAGTAACACATTCGGTTACATTATCATTCGTCTCTCAAATCAGTGGAAACCTGAGGCTGAATCTGAGAGGTTCACAGACCTCCAGACCGACCACCAGCACTGAGGTAAGAGAGGCCTTCCCATGGGCCATGGCCCCACCATCACCTCACTTCCTTCCTCCAGGGAATCTCCTCTAAGAGGTCAGTGGGGTCATACATATGCCTGCAGTCTCAGATGCAGATGTCATTGTGGTGTGACTGTGTGTGGGTGGAGGTCAGCTCAGTGTCTCTTGCTCAGTGCCCTTTACAGTGATCCAGCAGCGCTGCAGGCAGGAAGTGGATGTGACTTTGAGTTCCTGCCACTGTTTTGCCAGAGGATTATCGAACCGCTCTTCAACCTTCACCAACTCTGTGTGACGAACTGTAAAGTGTTGGCCTCATGCAGACAGACTTTGGACTAATGGCGTGAAGGCTTATGCTGTCCACTGCTTGACTGACATTTAAAGCAGCCAATTGCATTTGTTCATTTGTATGCATCGTTTAGCGGTGGTTTATCTGAAATAGTTGCTATAGACTGCTGTGAAAAAACGAATTTAAACAATTGCACATTTGCTGTCAGTTGGCGGCAAAATGGATAGACTCTTTGATCTGAATATATACTGCTGTTCAAAAAGTTTGGCGTCAGTACACTCTAAAAAATGCTGGGTTGTTTCAACCCAACTTTGGATCAAATATGGACTAACCCAACTATTGGGTTAAATTCTTTCATTTAAATTTTTAACCCAAAAGTTGGGTTAGTCCATATTTGACCCAAAGTTGGGTTGAAACAACCCATAATTTTTTAGAGTGTAAGATGTTTTAATGTTTTTGAAAGAAGTCACTTATGCTCACTAAGGCTGCATTTATTTGATCTAAAATACAGTAATATTGTGAAATGTCAAATATGACTATTGTCATTTTGCATTATTGACACAATATTTTCCTAATTAATGCTGTACAGTTGCTTTGACACAATCTGTATTGTTAAAAGCACTATATAAATAAAGGTGACTTGACTTGACATGATATTTTTTTTTATTTGAATATAATAATCATAATGATAAACTTTATTTTATAAAGCACCTTTAAAAGCAGCTTCTCACTGTACACAATATAAGCAATACAATTAATAAAAATAAAGATGATAAAAGAAAATATATTTTAAAATAGAATTTATTTATTTTTACTGTAGTATCGTTGATATATTTTTCTATTTTCTGTTTTCATTTTTAATTAAAGTTCCATTAGTTTTTTAACATACATCTTTTATATACATATAGGGTTTTTTTTATTAACATTTAGGGTTTTTGTTTTTTGTTTGTTTATTTAATTTGAGTTATTTTAGTACTTCAACTAAAACTAAAAGAAAATGAGAACTATTGCATTTATTTAATGTTTATTTTATTTCAAGTAATGTTTTTGTTAAGGATATAATATTTACAATATAATAAAATTGATTTGATATAAAAATCTTTTTTTTTTTTTACTTTTAATCTTTTAAACATGTACTGCCACTTTTGATAAGTTTAATGCGTCCTTGCCAAATAAAAGTATTAATTCTTCTTTAAAATAACATAAAAACTAGGGCTGGACGATTAATTGAAAAGTAATCGAAACTGAAATTCAGAACCTCTAAACGACGTAATTTTCTCATGTTTTTTTTTTTTTTTTTAAATCTGTTAATACTTTCCCCTTAAAAACATACTACCACGTGTATAGTCGTGCTATATGGACGTGTCTGAACGTTGCGCTCATGTCTTTCGAAGCGTCTCGCAGGTGAGTGTCGCGTTTCATCGTTTCAAAAAATCGTTCATTAATCGTAACCGAGATAAAATGTTCAATTAATCGAGATTTTGATTTTAGGTCCTATTGTCCAGCCCTAATATAAAACAATCAATCTTACTGACCCCAAACTTTTGGACAGTACAGTAGTTTATGTTCGTCCAAAAATAATATTTTACTGGTTCTTTTACAGATAAAGCTAATAAATCAAAGCATAATTTGTCATTTTGTTTTGCATGTTAAGTTTACTTTTTCACCTCAAACTCTTATTTTGATTCCACCAACCTGGTAAATTTGGGCAAAAATTCCTCAAAAGTGTTTATTCCATTAACGCAGTACGTTATAAACACATCTTCCTTTCCAGGTGGACTGAATGTGTTCTTACTCCTGGATGATGTGCAAAATAAGCTGAGCAGAATGGAAGTGGTGATTGGATCTGACGGTCAACTTTGGGCCACCAATGGCACACGGGGTGAGTGGAGAAACTGATTAAAGAAAGTGGTGCAGAAATGATTCACAGCAGTCATATTGGGGGAAAAAAAAGATTATTCTTGTATATAATGCAGACTATATTGTAGTCCAGTTATAATGCAATCAGGCTTCATAAAGAGGATGTGGCAGCACCAAATATATTCAACCCAATACCAACACATGGAGTCTTTAAGGTACAGTAGCACAAAAACCTGTTGAAGGATCAGTCGGAGGATGGAAAATGCTCATAAACACTCAATTATGATGTTTTTGGTGCAATAAACTAACATTATAGAGGACTATAATAACATCATAGAGGATTTGAGGCCAGAAACGAAGATAAAAAGTGAAATATGAGCCCTGTAATAAATGTCAGCGCCACCTGTGGAGTTGAGAGCAGCTGTCATGTTTCCATTAGGCGTGTTGTGACCCCACCTGTCAGAGACTTTGATGAGCACTGCCCGGTAGAGCTGGCGCTGGACGCTGGCGGGCTCGGGGCCGCACGGGTGGACGAAGGGGTGCACAGCTGCTAGAATGAAGCCCTGCTGGTACAGATCCTGCAGCTGAGACGGCAGCTCCCTCACTGAGGACAGGCACAGCGTGGACGTCCCATCTGCCAGAGGACACAGAGGCAGAGACACACACACACGGGTGAGAACAGCACACACTGGACCACACACACTCAGATGGGTAGACTCCCTGGAGGACCCAACACTAACAAATAACTCGATATTATTCAGCTATTTGAGGATGTATATTATATATTTATGATTTTTTGTTTATTGTCAAAACTCTTAAACATATGAATAATGCAAAGCAGAGAGATCTGTGGTTATTCTGTGTTGAACTTTTTTTTTTTACTTTATATGTTTATATTTAATATTTTCAGAATATTTTCATATATGAAAACTGTATAGTAGAGCTTTCTATGGTTATTTTTTTTAGGTATTATTTTTATTGTGTGCGTATACACACTCAGTCAAACAGAGGCCTCTATGATTATGACTATTATTATTGTTATATTTTATATTATTAAAAAAAATATATATATTTTAATGTATGAAATCGAAGCAGAGGCTTGATTATTATATTTAAAAATAATATTTTTTCTATATATATATATATATATATATATTTATATTATTATTTTTTTTTTTACTCATATTTTTTTATTGTTTTTCATTATATTTTTTTACTGTTTACCTTTTTTTGTCTTTAGGACAGTAGAATAATAGACCAGAAAGTACCTGTGAGCCAGCAGCTCTTATATGTACTAAAGATGTGCATCACTTTATAAATCAACAGCAAAATCATTGCAACCCCCAGGTGTTTGTGCTGTACAAACAGTGGACAGTCAAACAGTTGTTTTTCTAGTGCTCAGAGTTGGTTCTCCAGGAGGATTTGCTAGTTTATTTGCAACGAAAGACAGAACGACACAAGGGTTGCTTTAGCAACTGGTGCCTCACTAACCTTGTCTGTGATTTAATGGGCCTGGTGAAAAATCCAATTAAATGGGATTGTTTAGCTGGTCGTGAGATGAGAGTGTTTTACTCAAGAGCTTTGATATCTTTCTGACTGCCCCAGTCACGCCTAGCTCTGGCTGTAATGAGATACACTCGTGGAGTGACCAGACATTTGGAAGTGGGAGGAACACTTTCCTCGTTTTAATCTAAAGTCTTGTCTGGGCATAATCGAGAGAGAGAGAGAAACATGCCACATAACAGAAAGTGTCAGAATCGGCCAGCTGTGCAACAACACAGCAGATCTGTCTCACAACGCAACCAAGATATTAAGCCCATGTTATGTTAATGAGAGGGCATCGAGAGCGAGACACGACCAGAACCGCATTCTATGCACACTAATGCAGACGTCAATGACTGGCAAATGCATTGTGAGTGTGAGGTCCAGTTGTAAATCCAGTTGTTATTGCCCACTATAGTGCACATTTTGAACAGAACTTTAATTCTATTATGAGCCTTATTCACATGTTTGAATGACATTGACTGTTTGGAATAGCATGCTAGCAAACTAAACTCATTATTTCTGCAGTATGTAGAATGTATGCATGGAATATCCAGATTACATATGACATTTGCCAAAATGCAGTATGCAACTGAGCAGAATACTGTATCCCACAATGCAATGCTCTCAACTCGACCTTCTATTTCCAGTGTGACAACTGATTTCACTGCAAAAAAAAAAAAAAATTCTTACTTGTATTTTGTCTTGTTTTATATATATATATATATATATAGTTTATATTTTAAACCAGAAAGCTTAATTCCCAGTTAAGTGATATTAGTTGCAGGGCTATTATAGTTAACTAAATCCTTTTTAAATATTTTTTGTTACTTGAAATAAGATAAAAACTACACTAAAGTAAAATAAAATATTTTAAAGGATTTTAGTTTTTTATTTCAGTAAAGCTGTAGTTAAACTAAAACTGAAATTAAAATGAATAAAGTCTTATATAAACATTGTTAATAAAATACAATAAAATGACAAACACACACTTAAAAAATAAAATCAAAACACAAAAATAAAAATATAAAATAAAAACTAATTTAAAATATTGTTAAAAAAAACTATAATAGTATTTCAATGATCCGTAATTCTGATTATTTGTCATCTTTTTTTTTTTTTAATTCCTTACTTGATCAGATTGCCAAATTTTAAGACATCTTTACACAAAATTGAATAAAAAAAAAATCCAAAATACCCTATTTTATATTCAAGATGATAACAGGATGCCACATGTAGAGTTTGCATTGTCATAAGGTGACCATAACATTGTATGCTAATGTTTATCATTACAAAATGCATACTGTAAGCTAGTAACTAAGTATTAAGTTAGTATCCAAACATAGCCAATGACTCCGAACTGAAAAGGTTAAGCTGGTTTGTGAATAAGCTTTGCACAATTGGCGAATGGTCCCAGAGAGAGAAACAGTCAGAGTTTGTCTGTCTGCTCACATAAGGCTCCGTGCCCAAAACACTGACATATAAACCAACCCAAACAGCTGCCTGGAGTGAGTTCTTCCAAAATAAACACCGTCCAGCACTCAGCTGAGCCTCCCATACACTGTGTGCCACATGTGTGCAGTGTGCTGGAAGAAGTCAACTTGAATACTGAACTCAACCTAAAGATGAACAGGAAGTCATCTGAGGTCACGCCGTCGAGCTCTAGACCCTTCTTCTGCTTTTTAATGTTAGAGCAACTCTAAATTTACACCGAGACAAAGATGTGTGTGTGACTCGACAGCAGTTTTGGAAAGCGGTACTGTGGTGTGGCACAGCATAAAATGTCTTCCTATGAATACCAAACAAACAATAAAACCCTCATCTTTCCAGATAACAATTTCAGATGCAGCTTGCAGATTTATCATGGTCTCTGGCAAATTGTGCAATATTTATGTTCTTTTTGCTGTAAATACGGCCCAAAAATAGCTTGCCAATGCCAAGTGGAGGAAATTGAGGAAATTTACCAGCCATAAAACTGTATTTTGCACATTTTTGTTATTGAATATGCATATATATATAACAAAATGAGATTATTTAGCAGTTTTTATCCTTGCAATATAATGATAATAATAATAATCTTAGAAGCCTCTGTTTATAATTTTTTCATATATTGAAATGTTTTCAAAATAATTTAAAATAATGTAAAAATACAATACAAAACAAAAAAAGACAATCAAATAATAATTTAAAAATAAAATCATAGAAGCCTTTGCTAGCAGCATCACATTCAAGTTAATCTTGATAAATAAGAGCTTTTTTATTTTAGTATTTGTAACTTAATGGGAGCAATACTCTACATATAAATCACTATCATACTTATAGCTCAAACAAATAATTATTTTGCATCCAATTGTGTTGTATTTATTCACAAATGATGCTAAAAAAAAAGTTTAACCCCCTTGTTTTGCACTTGGTGTTTGTTAATTTTGCACCCTGGCTTAAAAAGTACAAATAGAATATAACTCATAAAATAGAGCTGACATAAAGGCCTGATTGTGGCTGTGTGCATGCTCTTCTTTTCTCAGGCGTAATTCCAAAACTCTATTGTAAAATAGCACACACAAAAAAGCAAAGGGCGCTTCAGGCAAATCATTGGCCAGCTAAAAATAACCCTGGATTGCTCAATCATTTTCTCCACAAGACGTGAGATAAAACGAATGATGAGAAAATAGTCCACAGATACAAAAGCTCTCTAAACCGTACGTGCGCGGTTGGATCTGTTTAAGTATAATTAATCCTGCTATGTTTGATTTGAGTTTTTGCTTTCTGTGTGTAAACAGAGACTCCCCCCAGAGGCAGATGCATGCTGGGTTTGCCCTCTCACAGTCAATGCTATTAGCTCTCTCTGCCGTCTCCTCCGGTATGTGCACTTTTTGTGTCTTGTAGACAAAAATAAGCAAGAAATTTGATCACATGCCACTGGGAAAACACATTGGGATGTTGCTTAAGTTGGCCTTAATCACCGTAAGAACTCTCAAAACGTCAAAGTCTGTGGCAGCCAATATAGAAAAGTCTTTTTCAGGCCTGTGAACCGGAGCAGCCTTTGATAACATGAGATAGCTCATACCAAAGGAAAGACAAATCACAAAGGAGCACTCTATAATATCTCAATTGTTTCTCCTAGATAGTAATGAGAAGAGATATAGAGCAAATGCACAAGCCTTTCAGATTTCATTTTCCTGATGAAAAGAACCCGGGAACCTCATATATAGCTGCTTTAGTTTCAAAAGATACATTTTGCAATCAAAAGCACAAACTATATACTATTTACATCAGGGATGCCCAAACCAGGCCAAAGTTGGCCTCTCATGATCTTTGATTTGGCCTGCCATATCACAGGAAGTGTAAAAATAAAATAAAAACATGACATATATCTTCATTTCTAATTTATATTTTTGATTTATTTTGCATTGAAATATAAAAAAACATAAGTGAATTTGATAACAAAAATAGTTTAAAAATGTAAAAACTTTTTAAAACTTTTTTAATTTGTATTTTAATGCATTTTAATAAAATATAGTTGGATACAATGCAACATTCAGCATTCATAATGCAACATATTTTTTTTCTTTTTTGTATTTAAATGTAAAAACATAAGTGAATTTGATTTAAAAATCATTTAAAATTTAAAAACAATTTTTATTTATATTTTTTGAATTATTTAAATGTATTTAATTTAATATATTTTAATATAATATAGTTTGAAATAATGCATGCATTCAGTTGTGGCCCACAGCCCTCAATCAGTTTGATTTTTGGTCCTTTGTATGACAAAGTTTGGGAATCTCTGATTTACCTTCATTTTATACCTCTGTACCCTGTCTATATGTCAATAAATGTCTCATTTGAGTCCCTCAGAGAAACATCTGAGACAAAGTTCAAGTTAAAGCAAAAAAAAAAAAAAAAAGCTTTGAAATGTAAAAACAACAAAAAAAGTGAATTTGATAAAAAAAAATTATTTAAAAAATGTTATTTACTTTTTTGTTTAATTATTCACAATTTTCAAGACCTCATACATTTTAATATAATATATTTGGATATAATGCTACATTATTTTTTGACCCATGGCCTTCAAACAAGTTTGTTTGATTT